TTAAAACCAACTTTGTTATGCAGCAGTAGCAGTAGTGTGCGTACACAGTTAATGTGTACTTTTTGCATCACGTAAAAAGAGCTAGCGGCAAATCTATTAAACTACCATAATTTTAAAGTGGTGCGGAGCATAAACGTTATTTTCAGATATCTGCAACAGCTGTAATGAGATAAACTCATTTGGTGATAGAGTAACAGCGACTGCTAATAATACTTTAGGTTTTGCCTACATCCATAATTGAAGGAAATGCTAAATTTAATTTAAAAACAAACCCTTTGAGTAGGAATAATTTCGACTCTTGGCGATCCCGCGTGTGTTTTAGAGCAGAACGGCACTTCATAAGGTTTTCAATGCCTGTCATCTTATGGAAGGAGTCCCTGGGTGTGGCACACCCATTGAGCCTTGGGCTACTAACCTTTGGTTGGCAGTTCCAATGCACTCAGAGATGTCTAGGAAGATAGGCCTGGTGATCTACTTCTTAACAGATCAGATTTGGAAACCCTGTACAGGGCAGTTCCACTCTGAAACACATGGGATCATCATGAGTCAGAGTCATGGAATCTACTCTGGCAACTGGTTGGGTCTTTTTGGTTTGTCTTACAGAAGTGGATTGCCAAGCTGTTCCTCTACAGAGTTGCTGAATGGATTTGAGTAGATCTCCAGGCCTTTCTTCTCCGAGCACCTGGGTGGATTCGAACCACCAATCTTTTGGTTAGTAGCTGAGAGCAAGCCATTTGCCCCACCCAGGTAGTTTAAATTTAATTAAGAGATTAATGAAGATAAAGATGTGTTTTTTTTCCTACACAAGTTTTTGGACCTCTTGAATTCTGTCCATAGATCCCAGATTAAGAATGCCTGGTGTAAACAGAAGCCCAGTGTATGCCAGTTTCCAATCCACAGGATTTATGAGATCCTCCATAAGGTCTCAAAAATCACTCTAATGGCCTTGCAGAGGTTTCAACTAATTACTTGATTGTTTATTCCATAGTGTTAGAAAAGCACTTTTTCTTTAGTGAAAAGGAAAAAAGCTAATATTTTCCTTTCTATTCCCAACTGTATTTATGTTACCTATAGGAAAGAACTTCAAATTAACAAGAAGGAGAAGAGAATGACAACCTCTCTCCGTGCATTCTTATATAGAGTTTATATTGACACAATGGAATAGCTCCCAGTTTCAAGTGAACCAAAGTCTACTTCATTTTACAGATGTGAAACGAAGCTAGATAGGTTAACTGATTGCCATGAGTTACAAAACAAGTTAGTGAAAAAGCTAGATTTCCGTTCTCATAGTCTGTCCAGAATATTTTATAATACCACACTATACTGTGCACCCCTGCCAGGATTGTCACCCAATGAATGAATGGGAATGAACTGTTCATTATGAGACCAAAGTGGCAAACTTACTACTAGACTCCTGTAAGTGTTCTTAATTTTTTTTTATTTGTATACCCCATAAAAATGTTTTAGAAAAACATGTACCCCCTTGTTTGTTTGCTTTTTTCCCTCTTTTTAAAAATTTTATTGTGGTAAAAATATGCCATCTCAACAATTTCTACATGGACAATTCAGTGACACTGATTACATCAAGTTGTGCAGCCCTTCTTGCTATCCTTTTCTGAATCACTCTACCACCATTAACAGAAACTCAGTGCTTCCTAAGCAGAATTGCTCCTTTCCCGCTCTCTTCCACCCCGGTAACCACTAATAATCTTCAGTTTTTATATATTTGCTTATTTCATAGAAGTGAAATCATACAGTATTTGTCCTTTTGTGACTGACCTATTTCATTCAGAAGGGTGTTTTTGAGGTTCATCTGTGTAATGGCATGCATGAAGACTTC